ATCACAATATAGACTAACTTTTTTTTATCAAACTACAATATAGACTAACTATAAATAACATTTTGGTCCTAATATTATGCTAAAAAATTTCTCAAGAAATTTAACAATATATAGAATATATCTTAAAAGCAATATTTTATCGTTTTATTGTTGACAACCAATTATGCATGGCAAAAATTCTCTATTGGCCCGAAAATAAAATTTAAATTTTTTAAACTAATTTTTTGGTAAATAATAATTCGATAATATCTACATATCATTGTAATCAATTAAGGTTTGGATTTATTTGGTAAATACATAAACCTAATTTTTCTTTAATACGTGTCATTGCTTATAAATATATATCGTAACAATGTCATTCTCAATTCTCACCTTTTTCTGCATTTGTCATTTAAGGTTTTCAATTTTATTGTGTTTTAGATGAAACGATCTTTCTCTTGGGATGTTATTTTCTTCAGCATAAATCCAAAAGATTTTTGCCGGCTTTGTGAATGTAAATTGTAATCAAATTTGATTATGTATCTATCTCAACTTGGTATTTGTTTGTTTGATCATATCTTTAGACTATTTATTCGGGTCGTTAATCTATTTACAAGTTTTAGTATTTGTTTTAGGCTTTTGTATTGTTTGTAAAATTTGCATTATATTGTTCTAATGTTCTTTAGAGATTTTAAAAATGCTTCTGAGTGATTTTTTCACTGATTGATGATAAATTTCCAGCTTTGCGCATGTATATTCATGTCATATACTATTTTATAATATATTGCTTTTCTTTTTTATAAGTGGCCAAAATTATGAGATTGAGTGTGTTCTGGAATCTACATGTGGACATTTTAAGAAGTTGGCATAGTTTAAAGAATAGATTTTGGAATCAGTGGGCATGATTACTTGGCATTTCCATGCTTCCTATACTTTTATCATCTTTTATATGTCTACACTCTTTTTATATTCCTGACCAAAAAGAGTCATTTGATATTTATAAGTTTGGTTTTATATGCCCTGTAGATAAAAGCATGATTTTCAATGTGAGTATAAGTTGAATTAACCATTAGAGTCCAAAATTGGTGCTAACTTGATTAATAATATGGGATGCTATCACGAGATGTACAAAATCTCATTTWTAATMGAAAACTCATAATTCATATAAYTTTAGTATATAACCTACTAGAGTTRGYTTRTGYTAATTTAGTATATAAATATATATACCAATTCAGATTATTATATAAGTGGGTTGAAGTTCGAATTGGTGAATTTTGTTTCGGTTCAGTTTGGTTTATGTATTTTTTTTTACATCCCTAGATGGTACACATACTTATAAAAATTATCACAAGTTTGAATATATACACTAATATATTTCAAATTCTGTTTATGTATATTCATTTCAACCCGCGTACAGCGCGGGTATTATCCTAGTATATATCTATATATAAATACAAGCTCGAATTTCTTGAACCCAAAAAACCAAAAAAAAAAACTTGAAAATAGAATAATATTCATAATTTTTGTTTTATTTTTGTAAAGTTCTTCGTTCATCTTCTTCGTCCATAACTGAGTTTCATACTGATTGAGATTGTCTCAACAACCTTATTTTACTGTTTTTTTTTTTTTGGCAGTTTCTTAAGTACTTTTCACGTTTTGTCATTTGTTTTGTTTTATTGATTTATAAAAACTTGACATATCTTTTTTGTTTCGTTTGTTATATTATCATTGCTAACTTTTAACTTGACCCCATGTATTTTTCAGATGTTCTTGCCAGTTAAAGATTTAGTTTATCAAATCATTTAAGAAAAAAATTTAGAAAAATGGAAATTTGAATTTTTTTCTTTAAGTATTCTTATAAAAAAAATAATTAATTAATTGTAGGAAAGGATACCAAATGTTAATTCAGAAATGCCATTGGAAGTTTGATGCAATGACAAATGTTCAATCACCAAACGTATCTGATTTTACGAAGAAAAAAGCATCACAATGTACATAAGCCCATATCCTTCACTTGACTCGCACGACACGCCAGTCTTCCTCACACATGTATAAATACCAACCAACATTTGTCTTCTTTCTTACTTTAATTAGTTGAGACACAACTAAACCTGGTCCTCGGTTATCTTAACCATGCCCATCAATCTGGTTTTAACCATCCTCATATCCATTTTCTCTATCATTCTTGTTTTCTACACAATCCTATTGCCTTCCTCTCTCTCTTCTATTGCTACGACTATCATAACCAATTCCCAACTCGGAGCATTATCAATAAATTCAACATTCTTTGGACATAGA